CTGCTTTATAGTTAGTTCAGTTAGTATGCAAAGTTTCATGATCTTATTTAAAGTATTTTATGAATAACAGCGGTTTATTGTTTATTTTGGAGGTAACTTCGGATTTTTTTTCTATCGAGAAAATTTTACGGAATCGTGTTTTCGTCTAACATAGTCCTTAACATTAATCCTCAACTTTACCATATATTTATTTCAAAATTAATCCTGCAATATTTTCGGCATAACGGAGGATCTTGCTAAGCCATTTGAGGTTATATTTCCCCTTAGGCTGCACTAAAAGTATCGGGAATGGAATATTAGTTATAGTATACGACTTTGTATTTTTGTATCTATCCTCCTCCTAGTTTTGGTTTTATAGGGTAACAAAGTTTAGGAGATACCATATTATCCTCACGTACCCTATATAAAATGCTTAAGCCTTATATTAAAACCTGAATGATGATCATCATGATATGCAATAATTTACTTTGTACATATTGTTTTGTTGCTTCAAATCAACATTCATTACTTTCTTTCTCATCCAATTATAAATCGAATTTGACATTCGACAAGTGGAAGCAACCTTTTACTGTGTAGTGGCGGTTACCCTATAGTGCCGTAATAGGAATATCCACTGCACCACATCTTCCCATGAATGTGGTAAGAGTCAACAGAAAGAAATTGAAAGTGAACAGCAACATCTTTCTGATAACAACTCAAAATAATGAAAAAATGGCAACATGGAAAAAACCGTACCTAACCTTACCTTGTGACCTGTGAAGTTTTTACATATCAAAAATCTTGAAACATCATCATTCAACCGATTTCATTCGCTTGATCACTGTATAGGAAGAGAATGACAAAGCATATTTATGCTGCTGATGTGAGTAATGACTTCCTGACCGAAGGTTAGGTCGCGGCGGCCAGTCTAAAAGAGACTAGCTCTGCATAGGACATGATTATAGTGGACAAATGTATGTGCAAGTACATGTAAACTCTCTATTCCGTCATTCTAATAGTCGAATGAGACGGCAATCCGAGTAGACTGGAGAGAGATCAGGCGCAGGACTATTGGCTTTTGCTGGCGTTTTCACCCCTATGTCTCGGACATAGGGGTGAAAACGCAAGCTTACTGACTCTGGGCTAGTAGCCGGTGTAATAGGTGTTAGTAATATTCACTAACCGATATCGTCCTGTGGTTGATGTAAGAGGCAACAGAAGGAAACTGAAATAAGGGATGGGCAGCAGCATTCTGTTATGTGGCGGAGACAAAAATTCCTTTGAAAATAAATTTATTTAATGCTTTTAAACTAACTTAAAATAAAGCAGTTGATGCAGAGAACTTGTCAGTGTTGAGGACTATAGTTCATAAAAGATAGCTTGATCTCTGCGACAGCTGTCAGTAAAATCACGCCTATAAAGTCCTGAATTTCTTAGTAGTACAGACAGTACCATACTTTAAAGTATGACATTGACAGGTACAGGTATGGGCATGCCCATAAAGTATGACATTGACAGGTACTGTCTATACTACTAAGAAATTCAGGACTTCATAGGCGTGATTTTTACTGACAGCTGTCGCAGAGATCAAGCTATTTTTTATGAACCATAGTTTCTGACGATGTTAATGCTGTTAGCCTTTTGGCTTTTACACCTGTCACGCGTGACAACTACAGCAAATATCCCTTGTGTTTGGGAGGCATATGTTCTATAGCGGACTTTCTATTTATATATAAAGTGCGTAATGAGGGCGAATGACTATACAAGCCATATAGAATCAAGAAGCTTTTAACTTCTCTGTTAGGATTTTATTAATTTTATCTAATTTAGAACAAAGGTTCGACTGCGTAAATAACGTATAGAAAAACAGATTTGACTTACCTGATATCTCACGTAACATATACGTATCGGTATAGCAGCCAAATAGCTTCCGCTGTCTTACAGAGTAAATGATTATCTTCAAACAAATCCCAACCTTAACTTCGAAGATGCAAGGTGTAAATTTCAAATACAAACATAAATACGAAAGGCAGGCTCTCTAAAATAACAAGCGTTATTATAATTTCGATTTAAAACTGTTGAGCATATGTTTGAATTTACTTTGTGCTATTGGTAAAGGTGTTTACGAACAGATGCGTTGAACCTTTTTTTTTGTTTGATGTGTTCACCGGGCGCATCTGTTTTATCGTTGGTCTATAAAAACTTCCAAATATGTAATATCGCAGTCTGTTTTTACTATGGTTCAAGTGTTTGCTAAGAAATTGTAGATACCTTTCCACGTGCGCGTTTACCATCTCAAAGTTAAAAGTATGGTACGTAAGGGTAATATGGCCGTCCGGTTAATATGGCCATCTGGTTAATACGGTCACTTTCTCATTACTCATACATACATGGTTCATAATGAAGGATAGTAGGTGTCTGTGGTCCTTAGTTTAGCTTATTATAAGCTTGCGTTGTTTCCTCGCTTGAACCCCCAAATCACGTAAAAGAAACCTATTGCAAAACGGATCGAAACCTATGGCAACGCGGTCACCAGTTCAAAGTTTTTGCTTCAACAGAATTTCAATAAAGAATTCAATGCAGCGCACCTAAAATTCGCATATCACTATGTCACGTAATGAACGATTCATAACGGGATCCGCACCAAGAGCAACATGACCTCACTACACAAATGTGATTGGGTTCGAATCTAATGCTAAATACCTACATCAAATAGGAACAGTTACGGTTTTTCACATTTAATCACACAAGTCATCAACCAGACATTTTGCACCAGTCTATATACTTTACGTCTGGTGTACACCAAATGGCTATAACACCATCTACTGAAATTGAATTGGCGACGATATTATTTACACGTGGCAGATTAAGCTGCAACATAATACGGCTGCAGCACGGATTTGATAACCACCACCCATCACCTGATGCTGACCATCTCCCACAGAACACCAGCGTAAATTATCTGAATCTAGAAACAAGGTCGACAGATCGCGTTTGTTCGATAAATAATTGTTAGAGGCTCTCAAACATTTATGCAAACTTAAATGTCGCAATTTTGTATTCCGTGAACTTTATTGCGGACAACTTTACCGGCCATTGTTTATTCCATTTTAGTTGTCCTTTATTTCCCGCCCACAGCCATTTTGGTAAAGTTGTCAGTTGCGAAATCTGACGTATTTGGATAGAATTACTTAATGTAATGTAATTTAACTTTCCACTTATTATTACTAAATTATAACATTATAAGAAGTTTAAAAAACTTAAAAAACACGCATTGATCATGTGCTGGGATGATCCTGATTATTTTTTTTTAATTTTATCTTTGTGATCCCGATCAGGATACTTGGATAAAGTTATTAAATTATTGTATTGTCATCGAACCTCGATGTACATTTTCAAGTCAAGCGGTCGTCTAAAATTGATGAAAATTACATTAAAAGATTCCTTTGCATAGATCGATACAAGCGAAACAAAAAAAGCAAATTATTAAAATGTTCTGATTGCTGATTTCGAAATCTCTAGAAGTTTTACAGAATATGTGTAAAAATTAGCAGTATAGGGATATCATATTTCGTAAGATGAATAACGAGAATTTTTTTTACTAAAAGACCCTTTTACTAATAACAATATTTTTTTTAAAGTCAGGGGTGACAACGCGTTCGTATTTTGATTCTTAATTGATAATAGATATACGAGTCTGTGGAACACAGCATCCATTTACCGTATGGTGGATTGCGTACTCGTTTGTTAATTTAGTCAGTATTTTTACGTGGTAGAGCCATTTTGCAGCTGTAATAGCAGCAGTATAGTTGCAGCACGAATGGATCGACTCGATTTGAAGCACCGTGCTCTCACAGAATGCCAGCATAAAGTAGCAGCTCAACGCTGCTGTGTTTCGTATGGTGAGTGTAGAGAACCGGGGACCGATTTGTCTGGAAACGAGGCATTCCATCTTAGTCCCCACTTTTGATTCGTAATCGAGGATAGAGGTAGATGTCTATGGGCCACAGCAACCACTTACCATCAGGTGGACTGAGTGCTCGTTTGTCACCCTATTCTATAAGAAATATCATATTAAAAAAATAAAAATTTGGTTTTCAAAGAGTGTATGTTACAAATATATTACTCATAAAACATATCTTCCTTTCGTGGAATATTCATTGATTATTATATCAGAAATTATTAATAATCATTGATTATACAAGCTCTAAAGGATAATGAATGCAAATAACTGATTTAATTCGGATCAAATCGATTATATAATGCGAATAACCAGAGTGATACAGCGAAATAGATCTATGAAAACGACAACTTCTTTAATAATTTTATATAAGTATATACTTTTGTTTTTAGGTATTGTTTAATTTGAGTATTAAATGATGTATTTGAGATTAGCTATCTATACATGTAGGTATGTTTGAAAAGTGTATTTATATTTGTAATGTTGAAATAACTGACTTCTATTAAGCTCGTGGGGTATTTTGCATGATATTAAAACAAAAACAACTTTTTAACGTGATAGAGCCACGCTGCGGCTATATTATAGTTGTAGTACGAATGGGTCGGCTTGACCGGGACAGGACCACGCTCTCACAGAATACCAGCGTAAAATAGCAGCGTAATAGTGCTGTGTTTCATACGGTAAGTGTAGAGAACCGGAGACCCTTTTCAGAATCGAGGCATTTCATCTTGATTCTCATGGGGGTTATAACGCATTTGTATTTTGATCCTTATTTTAGGATAAATGTGGATATCTATGGGCCACAACATTCACTTACCATCAGATGGACTGTGTGCTCGTTTATCACCCAATGCTATAAAAAAGACTGTCTATCTGAACCGATTGTCGTGTAGCTTTTCAAACGGATATGGGGCAATTCCAGGAGGATCTAGTTCTTTTAGACCTAAAAAATTAAATATTTTTAAATTTCATATCAACATTTATTTACAATTATTTAAATACATCACTATCTAAACTATAATTAATTTTTAAACAGAAAGTAGATTAAAAAAAATCGCGCCTAAATCGATACATCTTTCGTCTTGTTATTCATGTACATGGTGACAGCTTTAAGTCCCTCTATGTTAGCGTGTTTTGCTAACTCTCCAGGAATGAGCAGTTCTATGGCCGACTGTATCTCTCTACTACTTAGTGTGCTCTTCTTGGAATGGGACACCAATTTCGCAGCTTCCTCATTGATCCTATCTAACATGTCGTTCAAGAAGTTGTTCATTATCAGCATAGACAGTATGGATATGCCCACATTCTTCTTCATTATGCATTTCAGTAACTTATAGATGTAAATTGAGAAGTTGTGGTAGTTTCTCTTCTTGGTCTTCTTGCTTTTTGATATTGGCTTCTCTAGAGGTTTCTCCATGGATTTTAACGCTTTTTTTTGGTTGTTTTACTGGAGCCATTATAAAATTCCTTATTTTAAATTAAACTTTTTACCTTTTATTAATGAAAAAATGACGCAACTATATAATATCCAGGGAAACACGGGGCGAGTTGTCAGTTGGGAATATTTGATTAGTATTGAAAAACAATATTTATTAAGAAATTGTTGATTTAAATAACGCGATGTAGGTATTTGTATATGGTGTTAATAATATCCTTAAGCGAGAGTAAAATAAATCGCTTTTTATACATTTCTTTATATATTTTTTTGAGTCAAAAGTATGCGTATTCATAACTCCTAAAATAGTTTATATAGTACTTTATCGTAAAAAGTAGTAGAACCTTTTTTATTCTTATTTTATTAAAAGAATGTAAAAAATATATTTTCATATTTTATTCCTTTTCTTTACTTATGTAATTTAATGGGTCAAAATTATCCGAATATGAGATTTTTCAAGCCTTTAAAAATTGAAATTCCAAAAATATAATTTTTACGTAAAAAGCCGTAGAACCTTTTCTAATAGTATGTTATCAAAAAATATAAAATATATTTTTATGTTGGAAAATAACAATCCTTTGCAATTGAAAAAAATCGGTTAAATATTTCAATATTACCTACAACGAGTTGCCTCAAGGCTCAAGGTAACATGCATTAATATCGTCATAAAGAAATTTTGAAGAGAATCGCATTAAAAAAATTGAGGAGGAATCTTTTTCTATACTCATGCTCTGATTCCTTCTGGACTAGCTAACTAATACCTTTTTTTTCATATATTAACGGCTTGCGACTTTTTGGTGCGATCGTATGAATTTGTTTCTCATAAAACACCAACTCTCATATTTACAACATACATTGTAACAGTTCATTCAAGTAACAAACATCTTTCCAACTTATATAACACGTTTTTCTTATTTCACAACTCTTTTAGATATTAATGCATTGTGTACACGCAACGAAGCCGGTCCCATCGGATGATTGTACAGACCTGTCAAATATGTAATGCTGATTGTCTATTATGCTAATTAGCATAAGTTGTTGAAAGATATTATACTTAAGATGTTGCCGTATGTTGATATAAAATATATTGTAACAATACAGCAAAGAAGAGAACATATTTCAAACGCCGGCAATAATTATGTTGCAGATTTTTTCGCTGATATATATATATATATATATATATATATATATATATATATATATATATATATATATATATAATAAAAACCAGAACGTGGTAGAGCCATGCTGCAGCTGTATCTATATATATCCTTGTATATTTGTAGCATGAATGGATTGGCTCGACCGGAAAGGGGTCCTGCTCTCACAGAATAGCGTCAAATAGCAGCTTAACGCTGCTGTGTTTCGTTTGGTCAGTGTAGAGAACCGGAGACCATTTTTACTGGAGCAGGTCTTTAAGAAAAGGAGTTATTCCTCTTTAAAGCTCCGGCAACAATCTTCCTCGGGTGTTGCAAATGTTCATCACTGATCGCCCTGTTTCTTACCGTACTCAAGGTTCCAATACACCTCAAACTGTGGATTGTCTGTCATTAAAAAAAAACGAAATACCGACACACTAGTATTGTTTATCGGTACCATGGGGAAAACTAACATCTAAGCTGGGGACAATTATCTATTCATTAAATAGAATTGAATTTTTTTATCTGTAATAACAAAATAGCCTATTACTGCGCTGTGCGGGGAGGCGGGTGGGTTTATTTAGAGATATGTAACCCTTTTCAAAACTTTTGTCTGTCTCTCTAGGCTAATCTTTAGTGGCTAAATTGATTGTAATAAATTGAATAGATAGAGAACAATGCCAGGAATGATCAAGATTATATTTTATTCGAAAACTAAGAGATTCATTTCATTCGTTCATTCATTCATTCATTCATTCATTTCATTCATTAATCCATTCATTTCATTTATTACTTTCATTCTTCATTTCATTCCATTTATTCAAGATTTTTTTCAATTAAAAATTTTGAACAACCGACTTCAATACGACCGAATCAGTTTATTCGAAGTCAATTAAATGCGCATTATTAAAGATAACTCAAAAACTACTGGTCAGATCTTGATTAAAACCACACGAGAAGTACCAGCTTTTAGATAAAAAAAAGCATCAAAATCGGTTCACCCAGAGCAAAGTTATGAGGTAACACACATAAAAAACATACAGTCGAATTTAATACCTCCTCCTTTTTGAAGTCGGTAAAAGAGAGGCCGTATTGTGGTTGTGGAAAAGAATTCACCACCCCATTTCACCCTAAGGTAAGAGGCCAGAAAAATCTTTTAGCCTCCCACAAATTGTGGTAAATCAAACTCGACAGGATGTAAAATACCCGGTGACGGAGAGCATTGTCAAAGGATCGAAAATCTGGTCCTGTGATTGCTAATTGTCAAGCGTGAGTTTGGCAAATCATTTCTTTTGTTTCGTCTTTAACGATTTTAAATCAAAATAATGCCACGTTAATAGATGTTACCCAGGCGAAGCTATGGTGGGGCTTGTATTAAACAATTAAACCTATAGATGTCTGTTTTGTTCATAAAATTTAAGTGACAATCAAACTCACCGTTCACCCGATGGTAAGAGGGTACTGCAGTCCAAAGACACCTGAAACCAATTTCAGACAAAGAAGGCTAAAGATGAGTACCTTTGGGGACATACATGGAATGCCTAACAGCCGTTTATTATACTCGTAATCTATACACCTTAGCCGGAATCACGTAGTATATGTCATTTTAGTATATTTAAACGTGGTAGAGCCATGCTACAGTGCACATACAGGTTGTGGTACGAATGAGTCAACTCGTCCGGGGAAGAACACCAGCGTAAAATAGAAGCTGAATGCTGCTGTATGTCGTATGGTGAGTGCAGAAAACCAGAGACAGGACTTATGAAGACACTGGAAACGAGGCATTCCATCTTAGTCCTAAGGCGTGACAACGCAACTGCATTGTGACTCTTAACTGAGGGTAGATGTAGATGTCTATTGACTCTATGTTCCTTTGTTACCACTTATTCAATAAAAAATGTTTTGTAGTGTAAATCTGCATAAAAAGACAAAACTATTTAATACGGCTTATAATTAAAAACTAAAGTTTAGCCTGTACGTCCCACAGCTGGGCACAGACCTTCTTTAATTTCTGAGAGGGATATTGACCAATTAGTTCACCGCAATGCTCTTATACTAGTTAGTGGACATCATATATTATCCTCGTAATATCTTTATTCCACAGACATGCAGGTTTCCTCATGATGTTTTCCTTCCCTACCGCTACGTGATAAAGTATCACTTAAACATTGAATTACCGTTACAACCTAGATAGCCTTATAGGGGGATATTTGCCGTAGTTGCCAGGTTTTGCAAACGGGTTGGCAACCGTATACGGTATCGTCGGTAACCGTATACGTAAACGGGTTGATAACCGTGTTTTATTTCAGTCGTTATTAGGAAGACGATGCGGCATATTTCCTGTTTTGTTCCCTGTGTCGCCTCTTACGACACCCACGGAATGATATGGGGAAGTGGATATGCTTACACCGCCACCACACGGTGCAATTGAGAATTGTTAGAATTTTGGTATTTACTAGAAAATGTTGCGAGCGTTTGCGAGCGCTTAGCTTATTTTTTCTCAATAGAATAAGGGTGACAAACGAGCACACAGTTCACCTGATGGTAAGTGAATGCTGTGGCCCATAGACATTTACATTTAACCATGATTAAATAAAATGCATATGCATTGTCACCCCTGAGAACTAAGGCGGAACGCTGATACGAAACCCAGTAGCATTAACCTGCTATTTTATGCTTGTATTCTGTAAGATCGTGATCCGTCCTCGGTCGACACGACGCAATCGTGCTACAACCATAATATAGCTGCAGCGGGGATCTACTAATGTGGTAACACTACACTGCGGAGATGGATGGAATCGTAAGGTTTAAGGGTTTTATTCACCTAAGTGGTAGCATCCAATACAGCCTATAAAAGTCCACTGCTGAACATAGGCCTCTCCAACTGATTGCTTCATAAAGGAGAGTATGCTATAGTTATGTAAAATACGGAGAATAAACCGTTAGGGTAACTTTACCATAGGTGTCACGCTTGATAGGTAGACAACCGTAGTTTTTTTTTAATCAGAAAGATGGTGCTTGCCCATCTCATATTTTTCCTATATTGCCTCTTACGACATTCATGGGACGATATGAGATAGTGTTACTTAGATGCACTATTATAGTGTACGCCGGCAACGACCTTCCTCTGGTGTTGCAGATGTTCATTACTGATGGCCCTGTTTCCTACGTTATAAATAAAATAAGTTCCAACACACCTCAAAACTGTCCGATTGTGATTTGATTGATGATTGTATTAGTTTTTTTTTTTGCGCCCGAATCAATTAAGGGCAACCCTCAGGTAACGGGGGAGAGAGGTGGTGAATGCATAGCATACCACGCAGCCGGCTGCGTGGTTATGTGGAAACTTTTACCTACTAAACACCACCTTTTGGGATAAGTCTAATGTTCTAGCGAGAGATCTTTAAGCCGTAAGCGGACGCGACTCTCCTTGGGTGAAAGGAGGGCACAAATTGTCTCTATTTTCTAGATGTTAGCGCTGTTAGTCTATGCGGCTCTTACAGCTTCATCTGACTCATCAACTAATTAAAAAAAAGGGAAAGACAATGAGGTGAGGATGATGATGAATGGTTTATGATTTGGTATTGTTACCAATCATCATGTCGCCTTTTTAGGCGTTTTTGAGCTATCTAACCGCAGTTCGAGGGGGGGGAGTGCGGACCCCCGTCTCTGACTGCTCAGCTAGTGTCGGTCGATGGTCTGGGTGGTGAGAACCGCCCAGGAATACCACCGGGTGTACGGTGTATACACGGTGTGAGCTGGAATGCGTCGTGACCGTCTGCGGGTGCGACGCGCCCCATTTGTAATCCTAATAATGTTTGTCCCATTTAGTGTGGGTGTAGTGTCATTGTGTGGTATTGTATTAGTTCGGAGCTATTATATATATACTGTTTTTACTCCGAACTTTGATAGCGCGATTTAGGCTTCGATGTGTTTTCGCTTGTGGCGCGAAGATAGCGCTGCCACATCTGTAACTTTAGAAAAACGCAGTAACAACACTAGCATTGTTTTTCAGTATCATAGGGAACACTAACATCGAAGCTCGGGACCATTATCTATATATATAAATAAAATTAAAGTGTGTATCTGTAATATCAAAATAACTGCCTATTATTGAGTTAGTTATTCGGGTTGGGGGGGGGGGCGTTATTTCCATGGTATTAACATTTTCAAAACTTTGTCTCTCTGTTTGGGCTAATCTTTGGTATGGTTTATCTGATTGTAATGAATTGAACAGATAGAGAGCAATGCCCGGAGTGATCCAGACTATGTTTTATTCGAAAACTAGGAGATTCATTTCATTCGTTCATTCATACATTTCATTCAATTGTTAATAAACAGTTGACTTATCGGGCACCAACATAGAATACTATAGTACATACATAACAGAATAGGGGAGTGGGCGGAGCCCGCGTAGCCACTAAAATGTCACTAACACGTCAATTCACACTTATTTATTTATTTATTTAGGTAATCATACAGCGTTTTTATCTTATTTACAATACATATTATCATATAGTAAGGCCAATAGAGATTACACAATTTTTATCAACTAATAATTAAGCGTGCGTGCGTGCCTGTGTGTGTGTGTGTGTGTGTGTTGTGTGTGTGTGTGTGTGTGTGTATGTGTGTGTGTGTGTGTGTGTGTGTGTGTGTGTGTGGTGTGTGTTTATTTTTTTTTGTGTGTGTGTGTGTGTGATTATGCCCTATTTTTGTTTATAACATCACGTTTGAAGCGACTCTTGGATAGGTTGAAAATATCCAAGTCAGCGTAAAACTTATTATAGTTTTGAACAATACGACATAAAGTAGAATTTTTTGCGTAATTTGTTTTTGCTCGTGGTACGTGAAATAATGGCGTATGTCTAGTTCGGTATTTAGGTACTAGTATCGATATTTTAGATAACAGGTCTGGACAATCTATGTTACCAGACCATAAACCGTGTAGCAAAAACATATCGTGTTGAAGTCTTCTGAGCTCCAAGGTATCTAAGCGGTAAAATTTGCAAGCATCTTCGTATGAAGCAAAACTATTATGATCTTTTGTTGAGATAAACTTAATGAACAGTTTTTGAATTGATTCTATTCGATGCTTATGCTTCTACACCGATAAACCCTTACGAGCAAAGTATAAGCTATGCAATTAATACTGCTAAAATCGTTGCAGACGCGCTTTATGAATCCAATTTGCTTGTAGGCTTTGTCAACAATGCTATCTATATGCTCATTGAACGTTAATTTTGAGTCCAGCCTGATACCAAGATCTCTAACTGATGATACACTCTTTATGGATTTATTGTTAATTGAATAATTGTAATCTATGAGCTGTTTCTTGCGACTGAAGGTTATTTTGACACATTTTTCACTATTGATAGTAATTCTATTTTTGCTGTAATAAGTTTCTAGGTTTTTTAAATCGTTTTGAATCAGAACACAGTCATCAATTGTTTTTATTTTTAGATAAATTTTTTTGTCATCTGCGAACATTAAATAGTTTGAATGATAGAAGCAGTCACCGATGTCAAATAAATAGGCGTTGTAGAACAAAGGTCCGAGTATTGAGCCTTGTGGGACACCAGATGTTACCATAATAAAATCACTACGAGCACTACCCAGTAACACTGCTTGCCTTCTGTTACTTATGTATGAAGTTACCCATCTGTGCAAATCACCATGAATACCCAAACTGTAAAGTTTACGTAAAAGGATGGCATGATCAACACGGTCAAATGCTTTTTCAAAGTCCGTGTATATTACATCGACCTGCTGCCTGTCATCCATGCTCATATATATATAATTGGTTAAAGTAGCTAAATTTGTTACAGTTGATCTTTTATTTATAAAACCGTGTTGTTCAATTGGTATTGATTTTAAGATTATGGGACTGATGTGTATAAAGATAAGTTTTTCAAAAATCTTTCCAAATGTGTTTAATATGGAGATTGGGCGGTAGTGCTCAATTCTGCTTTTTGGTCCACTCTTATGTATAGGTATTATTAGAGCTTCTTTCCACTTACTAGGAAATGTTCCATAGATGTTAACAGACATATTAAAGATTATTGAGAGAGGCTTGGCCAAGTGTTTTGCACATTTATGTATAAATAGGGGAGGTATGCCATCGCTACCAGGCACTGTATTAGTTTTAATTGTATGTAGAATACGATAAACATTTTTAGTACTAAAGTATATATTATGTAATATATCATTTGACTCTACGTTTGGAATATGGGAATAATCGTAAGAAGAAGAAGGTTTTTGAAAAACACTTTCAAAGAATTTATTAAATCCCGCACACACGTTCGTTTCGTTTGTGTATGATTCATTTCCTAATTTTAATGTATTAGGGTATGTAGAGTTGCTATTACGTATAGATTTTAAATAAGACCATAATATTTTAGGATCTTTTTTTAGAAGGCTTTGCATTTTATCTAAGTAACGCTCGTGGCACTGTTTCTGTAATTTCTTTTGTCTAGTACGTAGTATGCAAAATTCGTCATAATCACGGGGATTTTTATATTTTTTCCAATGTTTATGTTTTAAGAGCTTTTCTCGAATAATATGCCTTAGTGATTTAGAATACCAAACAGGGTAATTAGATGAACGGGATAAACAAGTAGGTACAAATTTATCAATTATTAGGTGTAGCTGGAAATAAAAATTTTGAACTACGACATCAATTGAGTTACCAGTTAACAAGGAAGACCAGTTGACTTCTGAGAGGGCTTTATTTATTTTATCGTAATCAACTCGGTTAAAGTTTAATTTTGATCGTGGTTTATTTTTTAAGCAGGGTATTAGCAGATCAGATGCGTCGAGCAGTAAAGAAGGATGGTATTTATCCTCAGATACAAGATATATTTGAGAACGAGTAACGTCTATGTTTATGTTACTAAACACTAAGTCTAGTACGTTGCCACTATTGTTGCTAATAATATTATGTTGATTTAGCCCTGATAAGTTGCATAGATCAGTTAACTTTATTGTAGCATTTTGTAATTCTACTGGACTTTGCTTAAGCATTACGGGACCTGAAGAGGACCAAGATATATTCGCTAGGTTGAAGTCACCGGCAATTATAAAATGATCATTTGGACATTGTGTTATGATTTTTGTGAGCATTTCTGTAAAATTATCTAAACGCTTTGATTGATAATTATCAGGCGGTATATAAACAACTCCAATGTTTAAATTACGTCTGTCTTGACAAATTAAATATTTTCCTGGTATTGTTACCCACAAACATTCGAGATCTCTACACATCCATTCCGTCCGTTCTTGAGCTTGTAATTGTGTATACGTACAAATCATGACCCCCCACCCTTCTTTTTATGCGAAGATGTTTTATTTCTATCATACCTAAATATGTCGTACCTATTGTCACACAATTCACCGTTGTAAATACCATCAGTCAACCAAGTTTCTGTAATGAGTATTATGTTGAAGTTATTACAAATTATACTGTCTCTAAATTGCCTAGTTTTAGTTCGCAAGCCACGGACGTTTTGATAGAATATGTGCATTGAGTTATGAGGCACTTTTAGCATGATTTAGGTACCATTGTGTTGTAATTAACTTATAAAAAATTATATTTATCATAGTAATTGATAGTAATGTAGATAATAAGTATATTATGTAACAGAAATAATACAGGTTGAAGAGTCATGAGGGATGGTTTTGCAACAGACAGGAATTTTATTTTTATACAAGGTAAGAAATGGTAGCTTATACATTTCTTTTGTAGGGCATATTGGTGTAAGTATTCAGTATTGATGTAAATTTTGAAAGATGTGTGTGAATGTAAGAATTTGATGTATGTAATAATGGATGTGTAAATCGTAAGTGTTGTTTTATGTGTTAAATATGTAACTATTAATATTAAAAAACAGCATGCTAATACTATCAAAATTAATCTTATCATACAATTTTTAATAAATCTTTTTCGGAATTTATAGTGATAGCGGGAGACTCCTCGTTTTTCCTTAAAAAAATGTGGCAGTTTCTGACCCAGACAAACTTATATGATTTGGCCATTGCTCGTGATTTTACTATTTTCAAGAGTTGCTTATTCTCAGGGGTCAGGTGTTCGTTAACAAAAAGCCTTTTGGCTGGACCACCCAGTCCAATATCGGAAGTAGTAATTCCTTTGGTTTTTCGGAGCCCTGAAATAATATTATCTTTAATAGTGCGATTCTGAAATTTGACTACAATGTTTTTTGGGCGACCTCCAACATTCTGCATAGGCTGAACTCGGTGCGCAAAAACAATTTGATCATCCGTAAGCTTTATTCCTGCATGGCTGGCTATTTTGATTATTAATTCAGAAGTTGATTCTTTTGAGTTTTCTGGTAAACCAACAATCTCTAAGTTCGAAAGTCTACCCCATTGTTGTTCTTTTTTTATTTGCGCACATAATTCCGCCAGTTTCATCTCGCCATTCTGGACATTTTGTTGAAGTTTTTCAAAATTACTTTTAAGATTGTTGTAGTCATTTAGCAAACTGTTATGCGATTCTTCCAGCTGTTTAAGGTTACTAGTTATTTCGTTTTTTATTTCAGTGATAAGTGATAATTTCAACTCTTGAATTATATCGAATTTTACAGCACTGAGTTTTTTGTCTAACAGTAACTCTATGCTATTAATTAATTCCAAATTATATGGTTGGCAACTACTGGTCTCAGTGATACATGTAGGCTGGTCAGTACTTTTGTTTGATGATCTATACGTAGTTTTATCGTAAACGGTGTTGGAAGGAGACTTATTAGTTCGTATCGGAGTGTTACTGTTATCACCACCTTTTCGACAAGAAGCAGTGCAAGCGGGACACTTCCATTCAGATCTTGAAGCAGTATCATTATTAAAATTTATGCACTCTGAATGGTAGTTATGCGAACATTGTGTGCATTTTATTCGTTTTTGAGTAACATTTATGTTTGCTCTGCATGCTTCACACCTTCCGCCCATTTTACTATTAAATAAAGCGTTAAAATGCAGAGAATGTAATACAAATTACAAGTACAAAAAGTGCGTCAACTCCAATATACAGTGCAGTGGACTCGATCCTCCGTCGCTTTAACTTTTAATTGATATGCACACCGTTAGGCCGTTCGACCAACACGCCTTGAACAGATACGATGAAATTTTTGAACTCCTTGTACGATATGCAATAGTCCTTCAAGTTTTGTTAAAGGGTAAGTTAAAATGATTTTGCTAATTTTTCTTAACTTAGATCACTTTTATCAGAACTAAGCACCAATGTATTTTGAAAAACTATTATAGTCTCACAACTATTGCACTATACCACTAAGTAACGATGTTTGAAACGTTTAACGATTAATTTGATCGGAACACTTTTTAACACGTCCACCCGCTTAATGTCGGTACTTGTAATTCAATTGAATATTTATTTCTGTTATGTATCCATTTATATTAGTATTTATTTATAATTTTTTGTTTAATGTACTTTGAAAAACTATTATAGTCTCACAACTATTGCAATATACCACTAAATAACGCTGTTTGAAACGTTTAACGATTAATTTGATGGGAACACTTTTTAACACGTCCACCCGCTTAGTACGTTTTCATACAAGTTATAAATGTCAACACAAGATATGTTTTGACGTTACAATCGTTTTCAAATTTCACATGCAAATTATTTAAAAATTGTCAAATTGCACCCTATTTACAAATAAATATGTATAAAAATTTAAACATTAATCAAAAGTCTAAAATGTGTAAATTTATTCAGTCTGACAACACAGCGAATCGGGTTTGGCGACGCCAAACCTCGTACAAAATAAAGTTGACAGCCATTCTATTGTGTATTATTGTATTCTATGGGCACCAACGCTCAATATTTTTCATTTAGTATTACTTGAAACTTCTAAAGTGAGCCATAGTTTATTTCTTTTATCTCCATTGTTCAACTAACATTGTTTTTAAAGTTCTCCAAGATCTGTAGCGCTATAAACCTCAAGAAGTCATGTAATGTGAACTTACAGGATAGTTGATATTCTTATACCGCCACTACACGGCTGAATTTTATACAATTAATAGTTTAATACGGTTTGTTTGCGTAATTTACGTGGTAGAGCCACGCTGCAGCTATATTACGGTTGTAGCACGAATCGGTTAACTCGACCGGGGAAGAACCACGCTCTCACAGAATACCAGCGTAAAATAGCAGCTTAATAGTGTTCAGTTTCGTCGTTTGGTGAGTGTAGAGATCCGGATTTTTACGGGAAATGAGGCATTCAATCTTAGTCCTCAGGGGTGACAACGAATTTGCTTTTTGATTCTCAGTCGAGGATAGATGTAGATGTCTATGAGCCACAGCATCCACTTACCATCAGGTGGTCTGTGTGCTCGTTTGTTACCCCTTATTCTATAAAATAATATTAACAACTTACGTATACATATAATGTATTATTCTTTATATCTATAATTCTTTGTCCGTGAGTATGTGACTGAACTTCTGCTAAACGACGAAACCGATTTTTACGAAATTTTGTGAGTGTTCTTAAGTTGATTCGACAGTGATTTACATATTGTATATATATTTTACATGTAGATAACATCATCATTCGGCAAAGTACAATAAAAAAACTGTTAGTTACTCGTAACTAGCAAAGATTTAAGTAACTAGGACGGAAAGTGCTCGGAAATCGTCTATAGCTATAATAATATCAATTTTCAAGAGCAATTGTGGCTTTTTACCGCGATGGGCCACTCAGGTGTTTAGACTGTCTGCCATCGAGGACAGGAAGCGGGCGTAAAACACCTTTATTTCAATTATATACGGTCTATTTAACAATCGTACTATAAAATACAATTTCGCTTCAAATGTAGTTCTAGTCGAAGAGACATGTAAAAGTGAAATTGCGAAAATACACAGTAGTGACAACATAAGAAATCCAACACCAATTATCGTCCCGTTTGTAACGTATAAAGTCTACATTCATTACAGCCTTTATTATTAAATATAAATTATTAATAAGAGAGAGACAAAAATATCATTAAACTACGAACAGAAATAAGTACATAAGTAACAGAAAGAAAAACTGTATGAACGTAATGTTTAAATATATATTACACACTTATATACTGCACTCCACACACATATACACACCGACACATTAATATCACTTAATACACTTACCTACCATTATCAGTATTTAAAACATATTTTTCTTCTTTTAAACACTTTTTCCAAAGTGAACAAGTCTATTTTAATTAATGTACTTATATTACAAGTAGTTGTAATTTTTATAAGGAGTTTTACAGCAAAATCATTTCTGTTGATGCAATGGCCTGGTGATCCCCCGAGCCCCTAGCTACATTTATCCTCGATGAAGAATCAAAACGCAGATGCGTTATCACCCCTGGTGACTAAGATGGAATGCCTCGGCTCCAGTAAAAAGGGTCTCCGGATCTCTACTCACCGTACAAAACCGCAGCATTACGCTGCTATTTTACGCTAATATTCTGTGAGAGCGCAGTTCTACTCATTCGTGCTACTATAATATAGCTGCAACGTGGCTCTACCACGTAAAAAATTTTACTGTTGTTTTATTGTTGTGTCGGTGTAAATATAGTAAATATACAAATAAGTCGACAACAGAGGTATATATTCAAACAAAAAGGCTACAAATAATTTGACATCTCCGATGATTAAGATGGAATACCGCACATCCTGTAATTATAGAAAGAAAGCAGTGCAAACACATTTTGGTAGCAAAAGTAGGCTCCACCTAAGTCCTATCTCCTAGAACATCTGTGTCATTTAAGTGATTGAATTTATTAAAAAATAAATTTAAATTATTTACCGGAAGCTTTTAATACATGGGTTATCCTTTATGCTTACGCACTACAAGGAGCCCATAACATAGTCAATTTAGATTTGATAGACTATTAAATTTTATATTACTTGAACTGTTATTTATTTATTAAACGCAGGTGCGTCCATGTAAAAGGAATGATTATACTTTCATCTGTCGGGAACCTTAAAAATTTCTGACTTTTCCCATCGTCGCTTCTTGCGTCACCCATAGAATAAAATGAATTTTGCCGAGGCCACATGGCAAATTGGAGTGCATTAATAAGTTTATATAGTATGCGAGAATTCTAACAGAAAAATTATTAGTTGGCTAACGGGTCGGTCGGGGCCTCTAACAAAATCTACGAGACAAAAGGAAGTTATGGAATCTTTAACGCCAACACCACACGCCAAAGAATCTAACGATACATTGCAACCATTGACTTAAAAGCCAGAGAGATAAAGCCCGCATGATCTTAGGTAATTATTATTTTCTGTTTGAATTAATTCTTTGAATAAACACAGAGATTGTATTCATGTAGACCATCGGAATTTATCACCGTTGTAAAATAAACACTTTTTGTGCATATCATGGTCTGACGTTGACCATTTTTTGTGTTGTTCTGACAAACGAACACACTCACTGAAAAGAAAAAGTAATCAGTGACATCCATCCACGTTAAAATATCAAAACGCATATGCGTTGTCAAAACAAGAACAAAATTGGAATGCATCGTTACCAGTAAATAGGGTTTTACCAGTAATTTAAGGTCGTAGCCTGGATACTCTTGGTGGAAAAATCTTGGACACAACAAGATTTCTATAATTTTCTAGCAATTATTAGAACCAGTTTACAGTAAAGGTGCGAAGAAAGGTGTTTTATAACGAGGAATATTTTATATTGAGCTACTAAGATTTGTATAAGGTATGATATGCCACTGTATGCTATTAAACTGATTGCGACGGAGCATTATTTATTATGTGGACGGAGTTAGGGCTTCGGTAGATGGATAAAGTTTGGGCAGGTGTAAACATATTATCATGTTTGTATATATATCGTTTCCTTCTATTCCTATGTTCGCTCGTAACTCCTTAACTAGAAGACTAATTTTAAATCTAACACTGAACATTTTCATAGTTATTGCATAATGTTGTCAGATGGCTTGGTAACCACAGTTTTATTTTTATATAATAAGTGTGACAAACGATCACACAGTCCGTTTGATGGCTAGTGAATTCTATGGCCCATAGAGATACATTTATCCACGATTAAGAATCAAACTGCAGATGCGGTTTTACTCCTGAGGAAGATGGAATGTCTCGTTGCTAGTAAAACGGTTCTCTACACTCACCAAACAAATCACAGCAGCAATTTTACGCCGGTATTTTGCGAGAGCGCGGTTCTTCCCCGATCGGGTTGACCCGTTCGTGCTACAACCATAATAAAGCTGTAGCGCGGCTCTACCACGTATAACATTTTGGTTTTACTATTGGGTTGTTTTCAGTAAGATGCTGCTGTCCATCCTTTGTACATTCTCACTATGTCACGTCTCAGGACACCTACGAAGTGATATAGGGTAGTGGTCTCTATTACGTAACTGCATTGCGAATGTAATGTATTGTGTTCCAAATATGTGAACTTTATAGAGCCCTGGTAACTCAGGAATTAAGCATTCGTCGTGAATTTTACATTATAATTTCTTAATGATTTCTTATATTTACGCGAACATTGCACATGATTAAAACTACTTTTACGGATTTTATCGCGTTTATTTTTTACTTTTTATTTTTAATTCCCGACGTTTCGGGCGCTTTCCAGCACCCATGGTCACGGGGGACTGAGATGACTGACGTCCCGATGTCATTGTTAAACCCGGAGTACCTTCAGCTTTTTTAATTATTGTTTATGGTCCGATCTATGCAAAATGAACTGACTATGTCCTGAGAAAGCGCCTCCTTCTCTATTGAAATTAGGATGTTTTTTAATTTCAATAGCCTCACGTATCATCCTTGGTAGGAATCGGTGTTCTTTCGCGAGGATTTGTGGTCTATCAAATCTGATGTAATGGTTGGGGCCGTCTAGGATATGATCACAAACTGCAGACTTCCCGGAACGTTGATGCTTCACATCAGCTATATGTTCTTTTACGCGGGTCCTAATTGATCTTTTGGTTTGTCCTATATAAGAGAGACCACATTCACAATCAAGCTTGTACACTCCTGCATCTTGTAGAGGAATATGACACTTGACGGATGGTAGGAACTGACTAATCTTCTTCGGCGGCTTGTAGAATGTTCTAATAGAAGCTCGCTTCAAGATATAGCCAATCTTGTCTGTGACACCTCTGACATATGGTAGTACAGCAGGCACACGCTCGACTGTGGACGGCTTCACTCGGTCACTGTGACGTAGGCGCGGGACCCGAAGCTTGTTGTCGTGCAGAATTTGCTTGACGTGCTGAAGCTCGGCGGCCAGGTGTTTGCTGTCACAGATCCCTCGTGTTCTCTGTAACAAAGATTTGCCCACGGTAGCTAACTGTGAAGGATGGTGGTGAGATTCACCGTTTAAATATCGGTTTGTATGGGTCTTTTTCCTATACACAGTGTGACCAATGGTGTTACTAGGATTTCGGATGACTAACACATCTAGGAAAGGTAAGGAATTATTTGCCTCTAACTCCATAGTAAATTGAATTTTAGCGTTTATGGAATTAAGATGTTCTAAAAATGCAGTTACTTTGTATGATGGTAAAATTGTGAAAGTATCGTCTACGTACCGCTTGTAGATCCTTGGTGTAACAGGTGCAGTAAGGAGGGCTTTCTCCTCAAAGTCTTCCATGAATATATCGGCGACAATGGGAGATACAGGTGAGCCCATCGCCACACCATCTACTTGCTTGTAAAACTCTTCCTTCCACAATAGATAGCCAGATGTAAGGCAATGTCTTAGTAATACTGCATATTCTGCTGGCATGTTATTTTCCTCTAGTTTCCTAGTTATAATTGAGATGCAGTCTTCAACAGGTAGGCATGTAAATAGAGACTGAACATCAAAACTGACCATGGTTTCATTGTCAGTAAGATGTAGGTCTTTTATCTCACTGACAAAATGGTATGAATCCTTAGTGTGTGCTCTTGTGTGTCCTCTGAGTGGTGATAATATTTTAGCTAAGTATTGAGCCAATCTGTAAGTTGGCGAATCAATCTGACTCACTATTGGACGTAATGGAGCATTCGGTTTGTGTATCTTTGGTAACCCATACAACTTCGGTGGTTTGGCACAGGAAGGTATTATCGAATTAACGTCCAGATTCAATTTTTCGGAGTATTTCTTAATTAGATCGCTAGTTGTTTTAAGCGTATTAGTTGTAGGGTCTGTTTTGACCTTTCGATAAGTAGTTTCATCCGACAAAAGTTGTTGTATTTTAAAATTGTAATCTGACGTATCCATTATAACCGTAGAATTACCTTTATCTGCGCGGAGAATCGTAAGCTCTGGTCTGTTGCGTAAGTTTTTCAACGCATTAAATTCATTTTTGGGGAGATTTAATTTCGGCGCTGAACTTCGACGTAACATAGACGAGATGTCTTGACGTATGGCCTCTAAATCTTCATTACCAATATTATTTTATACAGACAGTCCTCAACACTACAGATAATGTCCTCATACGGTATTTTTCGCGGTGTTATTGCGAAATTAATACCTTTTTCTAAAACTTTTATTGTGGCGTCGTCCAGTGTTTGTTTTGATAAGTTGTAGACAGCGCGTTGTTTATGATTCGTGTCTGTGGTCAACGATTTCGTATGTTGGACATTTGATTTAGTTGTTAATTTATGGTATTTATCAATGTGTTTATTTTTGCATTCATTGTATTTAGTTGTTTCGCGTTTATCTAAAGTTTCCATGCAATTTTTATAATCAAATGTCGATAAAACTGTCTTTAATTCACTGGACGAATTGTCTATGGTTTTGTTTATGAAATATAGATCTGTACGTTTTTGCTGAATCACCGTTATTAACAACTTTTTACTAGCCTGATTTAAGATCTTGGCGCTTCCTCAAATGTCTTTTTTAGTGGATATCTTGACACACGTAGGAATGAGATTATGATCTCTGCATCTCTTCAAGAAATTTAAAGCTGTTATGTATCTTGCGCGCTTGGTCTTCAGATCTTCTAATCGGCGTATTTTATTTGCTATTTCCAGTCCGTACTGGTTAACATAATGATTTCTTATATTTACGCGAACATTGCACATGATTAAAACTACTTTTACGGATTTTGTCGCGTTTATTTTTATTTTTTACTTTTTTTTTTTACTTTTTTTTTACCACGTGACCATGGGTGCTGGAAAGCGCCCGAAACGTCGGGAATTAATAAATAAAAAGTAAAAAATAAAAATAAACGCGACAGGCACGAATCACGTGAAATAGTAGTTTAAGACAACCCACCGAAAAAAAAAAAAAAATAATCATTATAATTTCTTGATAGAAAAAGTCACTAACTGATTTTGGCCTGATCTGAGATTTGAATTCGGGGCCTATTCATCAGATATATAAAGTAAAGTAAAGTTACAGCCTATATACACGTTCCACTGAAGGGCACAGGCCTCCCCTCATTTCTGAGAGGGTTTTAGGGCAACAACAAGTAACAACCAGGGTGTGTTGCCAATGATGACTTATGGAAGTGAGACGTGGTCCTTCACTGCTGGCTGTATGAGGACGCTCAAGATTGCTCAGCGAGCTATAGAGAGGGCTATGCTCATGGTATCTCTGACTGAATGGGTCGGCCATATAACTCGAACAACCGACAACCGGGATGGGGATAAAAGATTCTCGAATGGCAGCCTCGGTAGGCGAAGTGGTGGTTTTAGGGCAAGGAAGTGTCCGGCGCGCTGCCCCAATGCGTGTTGACGAACTTCACATGTCTTCGAAATATTTCTTTTCCTTATTCTTCAGACATGCAGGTTTCCTCACGATGTTTTCCTTCACCGCTGAGCACGTGGTAAATCAGCACTTAAAATTGCAACTAACAATTTCATTGGTGCCGGCGGGGACCGAACCCGGGTTACTCGCGTTCTGTTACATCGAGCGATATTTACATCGAGCGTTAACCATCTGAGTATATATATATATATATATATATATATATATATATATATATATATATATAATATGTATATTATGGATGGGCCGAATATGTATTTCACCGAATACGAATATTCGGCTGAATGTTCAGTAAAATTTTTACCGAACCGAATATTCGGCCGAATATTATTCGGCAGGGTCACCTCGGTACCCAATAACCCAACCAGTTTATATAATAGCATTTTTTATAGGAGTGGGGGCAAACGAGCATACGGCTCACCTGATGTGAAGTGATTACCGCCCGTGAACAACTGCAACACCAGGGGAATTGCAGATGCGTTGCCGGCCTTTTAAAAAGGAGCAGACTTTTGAAGTCCCATGTATCTAAGTCGTATCTGTCCGGAAGAATCTCTGGAGGTAGTCGGTTCCACAAAGAAGTTGTGTGAGGAAGAACTTCTTTTAAATCGCTCAGTGGTGGACCGCCAGCATTGCTTGTACTACTTTGTTCTAAAGATAGAGAGTATGATTCCAATTTATGAGGCTTTCCACCTGAGTCCTCATCCGTGACAAGGCATCTTTAGCCATCTGTGTTTAAAGTTGATTGTCAGGGGAGAGTGGACTATCAGCTCGTTTGCTGCTGCAATTTCATAAAAAATATCTATTTTATCCATCCGTATAGCCCATAAATTTCTACCCCATATATACACACCCCCATAGATTGTTTCATAGGGGGGATTTTGCTATAGTTGCCACACTTAGCAGACGGTTTGGAAACCAATGTTTTTCTATAATTTTAAGTTGTTATCATGCAGAAGCAGCTGCCCAACACCTGTTTCAGCTTCCCTCTGTCGACTCTTCCGGCACCCATGGGTTTATATGAGGTAGTAAATATTAATATCGAGGTATTAAATTTTTATAAGAAATTTATGATAATGTAATATAAAGTATTCATTCGGTGAAGTTATGTAGTATGTAGCTGCAAATAAAAGATGTTTCTTTATTTCTATATTCAAAGTACTTTGTTTTCAGGTACGGTCGAGGGCGTGCCACCCTACAGGATGCCGCCGGCGCCTGAGGCGGCCCTGCCCGGCGCACCTGCCCCTCCCACGGCTGCGTTGCACACACACTCTGCCAAATTCCCGGTAACAATCTTTCTTAATTTCTTCAGGTCATAAGAGTCCACTGCCAGTCATGGGCTCTCATTGTAGGGAAGATTTAATCCTCACACCATTTCTATGTGAGTCTGGGACTTTAAGGTCCCAAGTATATGTGGAAGTCCCATAATACGTAGCAAAAAGTTATGTGTCAACTGTATGTGTAACTGTACGTGTCGAATATACAGTATGTTTTTCTAGAATAAGGGTGACAAACGAGTACCTACACAGTTCATCTGAAAGTAAGTAGATGCCGTGGCCCATAGACATCTACATTTATCCTTGATTAAGAATCAAAATGCAGATACCTTGTCGGCATCCCTAAGAACTAAGCTGGAATGCCTAGTTTCCAGTAAAAGGGTCTCCGGGTCTCAACACTCCCTATAAACACAGAAGCTATTTATTTTGCGCTGGTATTCTGTAGGTATTCTGTGAGAGCGTGATCCTACCCCGGTCGAGCCGACTCCATTCGTGCTGCAACCATAATATAGTTGCAGCGTGGCTCTACCACGTAAGAAATGTTTCCTATGTTCCATGGAAGTCCCATAAGTCGTAACAAAAAGGTATATGTGAACTGTGTATTTTGCTGTTCTAAAAGGCGAACTATGCATAGTACTAGCTAGCCAATCGCTTTTTCATTTTTCTATCTAAACCCATATTTATCAGCTTCTATACTTGGTCCGAATAGCTCGTTGATCGTTGCACTCTGCCTACCCCCTCGGGGGGTACAGACGTGAAGCTTTGTACATTCCTATGTATACTTGACGGGCAGATTGAAGATTGCATTAGTAGTTCTAAGGTAGTAAACGATATGGTTATACCACCATCTGTCGGAAGCCATAAGTAATATTTTTATAGAATTAGGGTGACAAGCGAGCACACAGTCTACACGATGGCAAGTGGATGCCGTGGCCCATAACATTTACACCTAACCCCGATTAAGAATCAAAATGCAGAAGCGTTGCCACCCCTGAGGACTAAGATGGAATGCGTCGATTCCAGTAAAACGGGTCTCCAGTTCTCTACACTCACCATACGAAACACAGCAGCATTAAGTTGCTATTTTACGCTGTTATTCTGTGAGAGCGTGATCCTTCCCCGGTCGAGCCGACCCTTTCGTAGTATAACCATAATATAGCTGCAGCGTGGCGTTTTTCAGACGTTTCCCAAGGTCCCCTCTTACGATAACCTCGTTAGTATTTGGTGTCATGTATTCACTTTCGCAGCTACTTTACTACAAAACAAACTTAGGTATACATTTGAAAATAAGCCTGTTGAATAGCGAAATTTTCGAAAATACTATTACAAGTCGACGCATTATCATCATCACATATAGTCATTCAAAAGCCATTAAAGTTATTTATAAACACATATGAACGATTAATCTTCGTCCATCCGTCCGTCACGCAGTTTAAACCCCCGACTCGGGGACTAGGGGACTGTCTAGAACAACTAGTTCTCAAGGTCGATGACACCACACTATGGGCATCACTTGGCTTCTAGACTGTCGCACAAACAACGACACAAAGATTGTTTTATATTGATAGGATTCCATTGAAAGTATTTTTGAACTTGCATTCTATACTCGGTATCCGATTTCTTCGGTTGATGACATTAACATATACTTCTCCCAGTTTTATGGATATGCGTTTTCACTTACACTCGTAAATCGAGTTATTTTACAGAACTTTATTCAGGACGCATATTTCGCATCAAGAGAGCGAGCATTGGTAGTTTGGGGAATAAGCAGTCATCTCAAAATTTCAATTGATAACTATTTTTACGGATTTTATCGCATTTTATTTTTAATACCCGACGTTTCGGGTGCTTTCCAGCAGCCATGGTCACGGGGGGGACTGAGATGACTGACGTCCCGATGTCAAAGTTAACCCGGAGTACCTTCAGCTTTTTAATTATTTAATAAAAAAATTAATAAAATTTAATTAAAATCCGTAAAAGTAGTTTTTATCAATGTGTAGTGTTCGCGTTAATATAAGAAATCATTATCAAAATTTCAAATCTGTATTTACCTATCGGTATCAAAGAAATTGGGTAGCTACAGTTGTGAGTAGATGCCATTAATTACTATATATACTAAGTTAGTGTAAGTAAGTGATTACTAAGTTTTATAATATGTATTTCTATATAATACCTAGTACCCGGTTGACCGAGCTTTGCTCGGTATTTTTCGCTCGGTTTTTTTTAATTCATGTGTTTTGGAAATTATATTTAGATACAAATTACGTACTGATGAAATATAAATAATATTTTTTGATCTTAGCGACATAAAAGAAAAAACGGAACTGGTTATTTGAATAAAAAATCATGAGTGCAATTATTTTAATTTAAATTTTCGTGTTTTTAAAATATACTAAAAAAAAGGGCTCGAAAAATAGATTTTCTCAAAAAAAGAAAGGAACTTAAAAAATTAAAAAAAAGTCGGTCGGTCGGTCGGTCTGGGCTCGAACCGGGGTTTTACGATTCTGTGACCGCCCATTATACCAATTAAGCTATATTATAATCATTAACAATCTGTCAAAATTCACCTTCTTATTCTAACGATATTGTAGCAGTTTTTCATTGCCTAAAAACACGGACAAAAATACATTTTCTAAAAATAAATCCTAGCTAGATCGATTTATTATCCCCGAAACTCCCTGGACACTAAATTTTATGAAAATCGTTGGAGCCGTTTCCGAGATCTCGATTATATATATATATACAAGAATTGCTCGTTTAATAGTATAGGATTTTTTAAATTGTCGATAGACTACATATTTCTGGGATTTTGTTGTACATTGCTCCACGAATGAATTTATTTTTATTTCTAATTTATGTTGTGTTGTATATTCCTAAAAATGTTCCGCTAGATTTCTTGCTGGTTCTCTCCAGGACAGAAATATTTTTTGTACCATTGGTAAATTAAACATGTTCCTTCTTATTGGAAACGAGGCATTCCATCCCAGTCCTCACGGGTGACAACGTATCCGCATTTTGATTCGTAATTGAGCATAGATGTAGATGTCTATGGGCCGCAGCTATCACTTACCATCAGGTGAAATGCGTGCTCGTTTGTCACCCTTATCTTACAAAAAATTTTTTTACATAAAAATGACTTTCAGGCAGACGTTGTCTGGCCTTTTCGACGACCCATTGTGCTTTAATTTTTTTTAATTCGCTATAAAAATATTGAGGGTAACTTATCGGGATGATTACTACCTTGTTATCATAAATTACAGCAAGCAATACACATTTACAAAGTTTCATTAAAATTTGTTGAGTAATTTAAGAGTTCATCGTGGACAAACAATGTGACACGTAACAAAAAATAAAAATATAAATTTTTTTGCAACCTTCCGCTAAATAATATTATTATTAAAATAATAATATTCTGGTAAATAATATTATTTAGCGGACGGTTGCAACGAAATTTATATTTTTATTTTTTATTATAATGGATTTCCGCAAAGTAACGCCTGATTCTATCAATATGACACGTAATTTTTATATATTTAAGGATATCAAATTAAAAAAGTCGTGAAGTAAAGAGTGTTGTCTAACTAACCGTTTTTGCATTGTATCAACTTGGATATTGATAAGGTTGTGGCGTGACGACAGCGGCGCCATATCTATTTTAATGGCAAAGTGTTCTGCCCGGGGAGCGGCCAACACTCCGTGTGATAGTTCGGAGATGTTCTATATATATTGTTTATGATTCGGAACTTTGATAGCGCGATTTAGGCTTCGGTGTGTTTCGCTTGTGGCGCGACGACAGCGCCGCCACAAGGTGATTGAGTCTACGTCATCATTATATCGTAAGCTGATTTCATTTTTAAACGATCAATTATCTCGTCCAACGGAAGTGAGTCTCTAGCTTGTATATATGGAGGTCACACTGATGAAGACGAGTACCTAGATTTTAACGAACATCATTTTACATCAAACCGGCCGGCCGCTGATTAGAGATACGCCAGTGAAAGTATTTATTGTTCGTACATTTAACCGCTAGAAACGTGTGGTTGGTAGCTTACACAAGATTGAGTTAAAAAGATATAAGATAAGATTAATTGGTTTTCGTGGGATTTGATTTTGTGGGTACTGGTAGTGTTATAATATTCATGGCCAAATTTACAACATTAGGTACATATCAAGTATATGATACAGGTTTATATTGCGACCTATATCAACAATATACTCTAGTCGGACATGAAGGAGAATATGCTACGTTTTCCTCCGTGTTCATAATATGTCGCAACACCAACTTAACATAAGGTTTGTGATAACTTTCTTCGACGTTAAAAATGTTTTCATCCGAAAACAAAATTTCGCGGTATTTTTCCCCGCGTACGGCCGTAACAAAGCGCGGGATCTATCCAGCCTAATTTTTTCAAACGCTCGTTCAAAAAATGTCCGGTGTTCTTACGATGGGCTCGTAGTCCTAGGTCTTCATTGATCACTCTTTAATTTTGACCGTGGTTCTACGTAGGTCCAAAGATTTATTTACGAACAGGATTTCGTTGGATTCGCGCCTTCACTGCTTTGATGATCACGGATGTCCTAACTGTAATCTATAATGCATAGAGCCACCTTGCAGCTATATCGCACATATGGGTCGGCTCTATGGACCAAAATGCCACAAAATACCAACGTAAAAGAGCAGCACAATGCGACTATTTTTTGTGTAGTGACAGCATATGAACATGGTAGAGCCACGCCGCAGATACGTTATGCTTGTAGCACGAATGGGTTGGCTCGACCGGGGTAAAACCACGCTCTCACAGAACACCAGCATAAAATAGCAGCTTAATACTGCTGTGTTTCGTATGGTGACTGTAGAGAACCGGAGACCCGTTTAACTGGAATCGAGGCATTCCATCCTAGACCTCAAGGTTGACAACGCATCTGCATTTTGATTGTTAATAGAGGTTAAATGTCGATATCTATGGGCTACAACAACCACTTATCATCAGGTAGGTTGTGGGTTCGTTTGTAACTCTTACTCTTTAAAAAATACTTCGCACGTGTGAGAACGCATTTTTATTCTTTTACTTTTTGGTATAGGTGTATGGATCAGAGCTTCCACTTATTATCAGGTGAACTGTGTGCTTGTTTAAGCCTCGTTCCCTTACTTGTATTAAAGTGTTTCTAGTGCAAGGCTGTTGCCTCTAGTTTCACCAACTCTCTAACTCGGCGTTATGAGAATGAGCGTGGGAAATCCTTAAGTTAAGACGTAGGTCTAGCCGTGGGCATGGACAAAAAGCAGACCCTATTACGGAATTTCACCATAAACGGATGTTTTTTTTTAATTAAACATTTTTTGTGTATTTAAATACAAATTTTTCACTTAATAATTTATAATAACGTCTTCCAGACCGAATTCTGGTCACGGCGACCAGGCTAAACGGAGACTAGCCGTCTGCGCGGAATAAGATTATAGTGCGCGAATGTGTGCACAAAAAAAAGTGCACTCTCTGTTCCTTCACTCTCATATTTCTATAAGACAGAAATCCGGAACGACCAGAAGAGATCAGGGCAACGGTCTCACGTGCTTTTGGAGGCTCGTGGGTGAAAGTCAACTTCCTGACTTCGAGCAGCTACTGAGAATTTCTGAACGGAAATACTCAACAAATAATTATGACCTGATTTGGGACTGGAGCCCGCTACCACATGATCAACAGTCGCACAAATACAACTGCAAGGCCAACAAGGCGGTTCATTTTACTCTTACTATTTAAATTTAAGATGGGATGGGACTTTCAGTAATATTAAAATACATTTAACACATGCATATACACATTATATTTTATTGACCTGCTGGTATTTACTATATTTTGCAATCAATTGCAAAACAAATATCTTTTGTTTTTCTCCTCCCTTTCTTTCAAAAAGCCCTTAACTAAATAATAATGGTGATGATAGAAATTAAAATGGTTGCCATGGAGAGCCGAAATGCGAGTTCTAATTACCCCGGTACATTTACAGATAGAACGCGAAGTGATCCTCTCGTCCGGGGATAAGAATTCCAAGGTGCCGATACTCCAGGAGGCTAGGAAGCGGGGGAGACTTGGCGCTGTGGCACCCGATACTCCCCCGAAAACCTTATCTGCTTGGACGCATGCTGAGGTGAGTAATTCAACATCCACTTCAATATATATGATTTGTTTATCGTGTGCTTTTTTATAAAAATAAGGTAAAAAAATGAGCACTGTCCCTAATGGTAAGTGGATAATCATTACAGCTCTTCACAAGTCCTCTGCTGAACAGAGGCCTCCCCTCCAGGGAACGCCACAAAGCACAGTCCTAAGCCACTTGCATCCATCGACTTCCTGCATATCTTCCTAGGTCATCACTCCATCTAGTACTACGCAGTCTTACACTTGGCTTACCGGTACGAGGCTGCCACTCGAGAACTTTTTTCCAATCGATTGTCGGTTCATCGAGTTATATTGTCGGACTATTGCCACTTCAGATTACTAATTCGATGGGCTATGTCAGTTATTATGGATATCCTCGTGGTAAGTGGATACCGTGACTTAAAGAGATCTTCGTCAATCAACAATCAACATGCAGATGCGTTGTCATTTCTGAGGACTAAGTTGAATAGTCTTCCGACTCCGACCGCTCGAGCTGCTCGTAGGCTACAGCGTGGCGTTATCATGAATATATAAATATATATCTATATAACGGTCTTGATGAAAGTTTGACATCTGAAAGGGAGTTAATTTAACTTTACATTTAAATATAAGATTTATAACAAAATGGCATTATGATAAATCCTTACAACTAAATCTGGCATTACGATAAATCCTTACAACCACGAAAAGGTACCTAAAATGTTTATCAAACACAACAGTCGCGCGCACGACTCATCAAAATTTCACCGTAAACCGTATGAATAGTATTTGAATGCATAAAGGGACAATCAAAGAAAAATTAATTTTTAACATAATAGTAACTTCCCGGACATCCTACCTTTTTTAAAAAGTGACGCGATGAGTTTGACTCCGGGCTTTTTACAGTATAAATATAAAATTAGTGATAAAAGAGTCATACAGCGACACCTATTTAATCCTAGTATAAGAACCGTCGTCAGGACAAAACAAATATATTGTGTGATTATGACCTCAATCGGTCAAGTCGTCCAGAAATTACATAATCACTGACAGACGCACCAACGATTGTATAAGTTATGGATAAGTTATTAAAGTTATGTTAATGTCCAGACAGTTTTAAAAATGCCCAATATGACAATATGATAAAAAGTTTTGAAATAATTATATTGACCGAGCTTTATAAATAGAGTTCGTTACGTATTGTACAGAGTAATAAAACGATTGGTAGGTTTTAAACAGAATGTGAATAAAGATTTTCAAAAAAGGTATTTTTTTATTGTTACACAAGAGAGGGAATGCCCTATTGTTGCTATTTGATACTGCAAATGGCGTTTGCCTTCCTTCGTATTTTTATATTTGTTAATTTCGGATTTGGTATATTATTAACTTATTGTCTAGATTATGTTTGATTAGATTATATCAAATTGCGCAACAGTTAGGCTGCAATATGTATAATGAAAAAAATGATAGTGATCAGACAATATGATAAATAATGAAGTTAAAATCAGTATTAATTACTTATTCATTTTGGCCGGTCATTATAAACAGTGTCCTGATAAATCACTTGGTCCATAATATATAATATATAAAGATATAAAATGTAAAAAACACAAATTTAGTGGACACTTCATCTTACAATAAATAACCTTAGTGACAGTTCGTCCATTAGATTCACTTTCCACGCGTTGTTCTATCGTTTTCTTGGAATAGACACATTACTTTGTGATATTTTCCTTGAATATTAATTTCAAGATAAATTACTTTTAAACGAAATGGAATTTATTTTAAATATTTACACACAAACTTAGTTATGTGTTCTATTTTATCTCTGATGGTCGTACGGCCAGATTTAGCGCCGTGTGGAACTTTAATTTTTGGACAATATTTGTATTTTACAGCTTATTAAAGTCCACTGCTAAACATAACACTCCCCATAGATTGCCTCATAGGAGTGTCGCGAAGGCGATTTAAATATGGTTAGAATTAATGTTGCTAAGAGGGCAACACTGGTGTCGCGAACGCGATTTAAATATGGGCAGAATTAATGTTGCTAAAAGGGCAACACTGGTTGAGAGAGGTGGAAGTGACTTAAATGTTAGTGTCGAATTAAGAGTAAGTTTTGAAGTTGTGGTTCGAAGGAGACACTACTCTCCAGCAAGAGTTGCTGTTGCTTCTTGGCAAGGAGATATTGGTAAGTGTTATGTATTATAATATCTCAACGCATTTCATATTGTTGAAACTTTACCTAGATGTGGAGGCAACGGGAGAGCTATAAGGTGTGGTTGGAGGCTCTTCAGGGACAAGAGGTCCCGACAAAGAGATATCTGGTGACAGATATTCACTAATACAGAATGTAAGGATATATACGTGCCCTTCATGTAGGTTCAATCGCATAAAGAATACCTGATTCGAACTTGGGCAGTAACCAATTCGCGATGGAACGATAGGTCTTCGCGACAAGGGGAGATATTTGCCATAGTTGCCACGCGTGGCAAGCCATAGCTGCCACGCGTGGCAAGCCATAGTTGCCACGCGTGGCAAGCGGGCTGTAAACCGCAGTTTTTTGTTTATAGTCGTTATTAGGAAGCCGCTGCCGCCCATCTCCTGATGTGTTTCCCTCTGTCACCTGTTACGACACCCACGGGATGATATGAGGAAGTGGATGTTCTTACACAGCCTCTTCACCACTTCACTTCTCCGCCAAATCATCATTATCATCATTACAGCCCTTCGTTGCTGAACATAAGCCTCCTCCAAGAAATGCCACAAAGCACGGTCCTAAAAATAAATAAATAGAAAAACATTGTGTATTTAATTTACATTTGATACATTTAAATTTTTAATTTATTAGTGAATTTCAATATAATCTAAAGTTATCAGATGTTTAAATATTCATAGCTTTTTATATTACAACACCTTTTAGAATCGTATCTTAGAAAGCATTAAGTTGAAATCATTTTAGGAAGTGATCCCACGTTAATGGATATTCCATTAAGATTTATTATATCTTGACACCATTTACGTGTTACGAGGTAGAACCACAATGTAGTAAAAAGATACAACTGACTTTAAAAACAAAAAAATCATAAAATAATTTATGACATTCTGAAGTTTGTGATAAAACATTTTTAACTATAATATATCGAAGAATTAAATCCAGAAAGCATTGAATTATGTAGGAATTGTTTCATTATTTTTAAATTTTTTTAAAAGGGGTTTTTACTTCGTTTTTAATATATTCGATAAACGCAACGCACCTGCAATTCCCCTGGTGTTGCGGTTGTTCATGGGCTGCAGGAGTCACCATCAGATGAGCCGCATGCACGTTGGCATTCAGTCAAAAATCCCCCTCTTCTATATGAAAAAAGAAAGCAATTAATTTAAAAATATATTTGATAACGGGCAGGCAGGCAAAAAGCAGGGTGCGGACTGCGAACTCAACAGGTCGTAAGTTCGAATCCGCCATTCAACTCTCATGATTCACTCCTAACATAAGCATTTTAAGCTCACTAAAAGTATTTAAAGGTAATTTTAGAAATATTAATGTATTGTACAAATTTTTTTAATTCACGTCGAAATCAAAAACAAAAATAATACCATTAACATTAAAGATAGGAAATGAGAGGATTTATTCAAGCCATATAGCTGGGGTCTGCCCAGGTATGACCGTCTTCCCGCAAGTTAACGAGCGTGTCAGCAGGCCAGGCGAAACGGTGGGGTTTTTGTATCTTATGGTGGCCTCCAGCCACTGCAAGAGATTACATGCGCATATTACTTGATAAGGAAACTTACGGTTGATATTATTAATGAACTAGCTGTTTCCCTCGATTCCCTCGCTTTTTGCTTGGAGCAATTTTTGTTTTTCTAAAACAAAATTAGCCTAAGTTACTCCTTATAACATCAGCTATCTACTAGTAAAAGTTCCGTCAAAATCGGTCCGCCCATTTTGGGGATTAGCTAAAACAGACAGACAGACAAAACTTTTTAACAGTTGTCATTACAGACAATTCAATTTTATTTATTTGTATGGATTTATTCGCTACCAATAAAAACAGTGATTTTTTGAAATAAGTTTTTATTCATTGGTGTTGTTTCAATGTATATATTTTTATAGAATAAGGGTAACAAAAGAGCACACAGTCCACCTGATGGTAAGTGGATGCTGTTGCCCATAGACATCTACATTTATCCTCGATTAAGAATCAAGACGCAGATGCGTTGTCATCCCTGAGACAAAGATGGAATGATGAAAGATGGGATCTCTATACTCTCACCATACGAAGCACAGAAGTATTAAGCTGCTATTTTACGCTGGTGTTCTGTGATTTCGATTTATTTTCGAATTTCAAAACTTAATGTCGCTGATTCATTTTCTTACTATTCATATGATTAGTAAAATTTTATTTTATTTTAAAGATAAAAAAATCATTAGCTCATATGCGCGTAACTAAATTAGATTATGTGTCTTATTTTATTATATTACATGCATCTCAGCTAATTAATTTTTAACATTTTAAATATGATGGTGGATTTATATTCCTATTTAAGTAGTAGTAGTAGTTATCCTAATACCAGGATTTATACTGTATCGTAGAAACGTTTTATTTAACATTTATTTATACAATAAGTATGATAAACGAGCACACAGTCCCCCTGATGGTAAGTGGGTGCTGTAGCCCATAAATATCTTAATCTATCCTCGATAATGATTTCTTAAATTTACACGAACACTACACATCGATAAAACCATATTTATAGATTTTATCGCGATAAAACCATATTTATAGATTTTATCGCGTTTAATTACTTTTACTTTTACTTATGTTTAATTCCCGACGTTTCGGGTGCTTTACGGCATCTATGGTCACGGGGGGGACTGAGATGTTCGACGTCCCAATGTCATAGTTAGCCCGGCTATCTTCTGTTTATCAATTTTAATTTTTGGTCCAATTTACGCAGAACGAGCTTACAGAATCTTGAAGTCCTGCAGTGGTGTGCTTGGGTTTGGGT